GCAGGGGGCTGGACTCGATGATCTTCTGGGGTCCCTTCCAACCTGAATGTCTATGAAATCTATGAAATCTACTGCCCAATTTGAGTCTACCCTGGAGATAGTTTTGCTGATTCTTCAAACTGAATCAAGCTGGCAGTTTCACTTGAATCCAGTTCTGTGCCTCCAAATGGCGATGGCAACAGCAGCATGCTTCTCCATGCCAATGCCCTGTTTCTCAAGAGTGGGAGCCAGTTTGATGGTTTTCTCCTAGCACATCCTGAAATTCCACTGCTTGTCTCAGGTCCTCAGGATGATTCATTCTCACCAGTCAGTGCTTTGGGCTATATGCATTCGAGTGCCAGAATATGGTCTGTAAATGGTCCCTGAGCACCCCCAACTCCATGGTATCCAGGATAGCGTCAGCCACATAGCTGCTGGCTGGCACGCTAAAAGGGAACAAGGCTGGTACATGCATGACCAGGGCTTCAGTTATGTGCGTATGGACATGTATGGTACTGTGCACTAGCCTGCACAGGAACTAAAGCTTGCTGAAGAAGTGTTGGCAGGTCTTGAGTCTCTGCTGACACGAGTTATGGTACATGTGACCTGCTGGCATGGCTGGATCTGGAGCTACAGGGCACACAATGGCAGGGATCCATTTTGGGTGGGGAATGCAACTGATAACTCTGTGGGAATGGAAATGACCCAAGCAGACCATGGCTGTACACTCCCATTGCTAAATGGGGAGAGGGGCGTCCTTGCATGGGCGTGGTCCCTGGATGGCCAGCTGATTAGTGCTGTTCCCCTCCACTTGGTTGTCTTCAGTAATCTCCAGAGATGGGAGCCCCTGGAAAGCATGCTGGGATCTCTGGTGGCCCCCTGGCTGCAGAGCACCAGCAGTACGTGCCACCTCCATGCTTTGCTGTACTCTTCTGGATGATTGGGCACTTAATAACTGTATGCACATTTCATATTACATTTTCATGCTGCTGCAAATTTCCCATGAATTCTTCAAATAAACATCTGTTCCTACCCGAGTGTCATTAACTGTTGTGGGCAAGATGAATTTGAATTTACATTCCAACAGATAAAAATCCTTTTGTTCTTTTCTTCCATTATTTTATTAAAGTTAAAATTAAGTACATCTTTTGTAGTATACAGCAGAGTGGTTAAGATGCTTCATTATGAATCCAGGGAGCCTTGTTCTAAGCTCATACTAAATGCTGCCCCTCCCCAGTCAAGCCAGCTGTAAATGGACACCCAGTCTTTTGGCCGAGGGAGGCCAAGTTGCTAATTATGTTGAGCGACATCACTTTCTGGTGTGCTCCATAATGTGCCTTAACCACACCTGCCCAATGTGCCACAAAGACCTGGGATGAACCTTGGATCTGCTACAATTAATGATTGAGACTCTTAAATGTAATCTAGGCAGACAAGGTTCTTTGGGTAAATGTGGTATCTTTTTTTAGACCAACTAAATAGTTGGAAAAAATGTTTTTTTAACAAGCTTTTGGGGACAAACACCCTCATCCAGACATAACAGGAGTCTACTGGTGCTTATGTACTCTTCTGGGTGGAAAAGCTTAAACCAACATGTAAAATGCAGGTCTGTGAAAATGCAACTACATGGCAGGGAAGATCAGAGGGGATAGGTTAACAGGCGCAAGACAGGTAGGTGAAGTGGGGGGAAGAGGGGACTGTTGAGCTGTGATAAAATGTAGAGGGGTTACCTGGGGTTACTGGATGGCAGGCACGTTACAATGTGCCATAATCCAATGTCTGTATGCCCATATCCAATGTCCATGATTTTTTGTATCCAGTAGATTGGTGAAGTGAAGTTCATAGGCTCATCTACAAAAGGTGTTTTGTAAATTTCCTTTGAGGATTAGAACTGAGAGATTGGAGAGAGAGTGGTTGTCTTGTGAGAAGTGTGCCCCCACAGGTAATTGGGTATTTTTGTCTTTGATAGATTTTTGGTGTGCATTCATTCTGGTACACAGTTGTGGTTTGATTTCTCCTACATAGTTTCCATCAGGGAATTTAATGCATTGGATGAGATGCATTACATTTCTGGAGGTGTGGTGTAAGATGTAGGAATGGCGGTGGTTTTATTGTGGAGGGTAGTTATTGTGAGGGTGGTTGAGATTATTGGCTGGTTTTACATTTCTTGTCCCAGCATGGTCTGGATCCATTCAGTGTGCTTGGACCATAGGAAGTTTGCTTCAAGGCATACAAGGTGGTGAGGTTTGGTGTGTTAAAGGCTAGGATGTGTGGTTCTAGAAAGATCTCTTTAAGAATTGGGTCTTCTCCTAGTATGGGTTGCAATTGTTTGAGGATATTTTGTATACAATAGGTTCCAGAAAAGGATGGTATGTCATAACTAATGGTGTGAGATTAGTGGGGATTTTTTTTTTTATACTGCAGCAATTCTTCATATGGTATCCAGGTGACTCTTTCAAAAGTGTGATCTATCTATTGACCTAATTAAGTGTGTCCTGGCATTTTATCTTCCCTTCCCTATATCTACCTCCTCCCACCTTGAATATTTTTTTTATACCTTTTGAGCTCAGAATTCAAGATTTAGGCCTATTACTGCTGACCTCTTGAACACCTAAAGCAGACCAAGAACCTTATGTCTTTCCATTCCTTTAGTTGCTAATGGTATCAGCCATAACACAGAAACCTCAACTCAGGTCTGGGCAGATTAAAAAAAAAAGGAGATAGCAACCTTAAAATGTATGAGTAAGTTTTAAAACAGAACAATCCACCTATACATATATATCTTGTCTTAAGTTATAATACACTATTTGTAAAAGCCTACAATAAGTCATTTGAAAGAAATCAGTAAAAATAGTGCAGCACTATTTTATAGCTATGCACTGGAAGGCAGTGAGGAGTGCAGGTGGAAAGAGGCAAAGAAATTATAGGTTGCTGAGAGAGAAGAGAGAGGGGAAGGGATAGCAGTCTCTAAAAAAAAGGAAGCAATGGCACTTTGGTAATAATGGAATAAGGATGTCAGTTTTAAAGACATATTAATTATTCCCTGAAATCAAATACTTTTTTACCGACATACTATTTCTGAGATTTCTGTTACCTTGTATGTATAAAATATCTGAACTCTGTTTTTTTCTATAAATGATAAAGACACATGCATGTCTTCAAAAGGCATTGCTCAGAAATTACTGTGTGCTTAATGAGTAATCTGTCATCAGGAAAAAGAAACTCAAATGAGCCAGTTGAAAGAACTGCATTTCAAGAAAACTCAGGAGTTACAGGTACAGCAGGAGAAGGAGAAGTGTCTTATAGCAGAAATTGAGGGAAGCCAAGCATCACTTAAAAACCTCAACAGTCGGTTACGCAAACTTGACGCGGATGCATTAAAGCAACAAGAAATAACTTATAATCAGGTAAGGGGTTTGCTAGTTCTCAGTTAATTTTCTTCATAATTTTCTTTAGGGCTGACACATGAGTAACGTTTGGATTTTTTTAAACTTTGCTAACTGCTTAGAGAATGCAGTTGCTGAAATATTCAATGCTTAATGATGCGCTCTGTTCCATCTCCCCAGATGCGTGAATTAAGTTGAAACAGCTAAGATTTGCTGAGATTTACATTGTGTATGTGTGTATTCTTAATCATTTTTGTGTCTGCAGTTCTTCTTGTTAGTTTACCAAATCAATTTTCCTCTGAACTATTGATGCTTCAGGGTAATTTTTTTGATGTGATACAAGAGAGGTACATGTCCAAATCCTGTTATTTTCTAATGAGATTTATGTGCATATCTCCTATGCACCACTTTGAAAATTTGCCCCTTTATGTCATTACCAGGGGATGTTGATAAGATTGCAACACTGCTCTAAGCCTCCCTACAGCAGACTCTATCTGTGCAGCCTGTGCTTTGTTGGACTTCTAGAAGACTACTTATGAGCCATCATCACACACCACTCATTTAAGAGTATTTAGTTAGAGTTTCACATTAAAATGAGGCGGCCTATAAGCCATAACTATAAAATAACAATAGCTTAATTAGGTGACTATCCTAAAGCCAAAATTTAGTTTCCAAGTTCACATGCAACATTTAGCATTAATCAAGAGAGCTCTAATTGTTTAGCTTAGGCTTTCTAATTTTTTTCTTTAAATAATTTTAACAGGATTTTTATATTCAGCAAGTGGAGCGACGATTGTCACGGCTAAAAGGGGAGGTTAATACAGATGAAAGACAAGTGCTAGAAGCAAAAGTTGCTGAACTTAAAAAAACACTAGAAGAAAAGAAAAATGCATATAATCTTCTACACGCGCAGCACAAGAAGGTTCAGGTAACTTGCTTACAATGACAAATTTTGGAATTTAAGGAATTCTAATAACTTAAATAATTTTTTCCCCTAAAGAAGTTAAATCTGGTACATGATTTAGAACGTCTGAATTTCAGCTAGGTTGCATGGAAAACTTCATAATATGTCCCTGAGTACTTTCAAGAAAGCTACTGAGCAACTGAGATTTTATCACATAGAAGACTTTTGAATTGTGAGGGCAAGCTTTTCCAGATCTGACTGGCTTTTAAAATAAACTACTGTGTATTTATCTGTATGTTTTTGACACGAGCTCTTGCATACTAAACATGGTATCAAAATGAAGTTCCACTACATTAGGTTTTAGACAATTAGTGTTAAATTGCCTTATTATTTTAAAATGAAAATGTTTGGGTTAACAGGCTGAAACACTGTTTAAAAATCCCTGGTTTAAAAATATTACCTTGAAAGGTATTTTATAAACATAGTGTGGATGACTGACATTCTTTGGGTGTTTGTATTTGCCGCACAGAATATTCGTATACATATACTGTAATTAGATACTAACAATATTCACCTTAACTCGCTTATGAATCAGCTCCAGCATACGTTTTGAGGACTTCTGTTTGTTTTTGGTGTACATACATTTTTCTAATTACCACCTCACTTTGGCAGATGCTTGCTACTCTTTTAAAAACAGTTTTGAAACTGTCTAGACATCTTTTAGGTAAGAAGAGTTTGTGTATTTTTTTCTATTTCAGTGAAGCCTGGTAATATATCATGATTAGTTTTGAACAGCCAGGGTTGGGACAGATTTCCAAGAGATCTGGTAAATTCTCCATAATTTGGAGTCTCTTATTAAAATGAAATGTCTTTATGAAGACATACTGTATATCAAGGGTCTCAAATTCATCTGTCCCCACAGCCCATGTTGCTCCATTAGTCCAGTCTCACATGTTCTGTGCATGAGATGACAGTCAATTCTGGACCTAGGGCAGCACTGATATTAAAATCTGTGACTGTGAATATGAAATTTTGTATATGTTGTCATAAAAGGGTGTCAGAAGAATCTGGCACCCCAGATAAAATAGTAATTGCTTAGGAAACTACTGCAGTAGTACCACAGATCAGGACTTGACACTATACACGCAATATAAATTTACATATCAAAGATGGTCTCGGTTCCAAAAAGCTTTTAATTTTTAACTGCTAGTATTTTGAACAGCTTCTATCTACTGAAATGAACTATGAACTACTTATTTTCTAACAGAGTGACATCCATTTTATGAAGAGGGCAATGGATAAGACAGGAAAAGAAATGAGCGGTGTGATGGCTAGGATAGATGAACTAAACCTGTTCAATGACAAATCAGATAAAGAATTTAAAAAAGCTAAAGCTGTCAAGCAGGTATGATAACATTTTACAGTTCTGTTTGTAGGATGCATGATTATTTAAAAAAAAAATAATATTGTAAATCACGTAAAAACTTCTGATGAAGGGGTTGGGGGTTGTTTTCTGCTCTTTTTTTGTGTTGGGTAATGATTTTCCATAAGAAAATCTCTTGGCATTTCCTGGTCTTGCAATCTTTCTCCAAGTGAAAGTACTGTTCCAATAGCTGATAGTGCAATGGTTACAACCTCCTGTGTCCCAGGGCTACTTTAGGAGTTCAGTTACCATTGACCAAAAACTTTATGCCGCAAAGTCTATTTGGTGTGTGCTTTGCCACAGCTATTTCTGCTGGAAGTGTATCACTGATGCTTCTTTGAGACGTCATTAATTCTGACATTCAGGGTGTAGGTTGTAGCCGTGTTGATCTAAGGATAGTGGCAGACAAGGTTCTTTGGGTAAATCCGATAAGCTTGCAAAGAAGAATTTTTCCAACTATTTGAGTTGGTCTAAGAAAAGATAATTGGATTTACCCAAAGAACCTTGTCTGCCTTAATTCGAATATGGCATACAGTACCATATCCATGGAGTTGGCCAGAGCCAATTACTGGGTGGCTCCTATTATTGTTAGTCTTATATTATTTCTACCCTCCGCATGCCTATGTACCCACCACATCTACTTAGACCCCAAAGAAGGGCTTAGATGGATCAGAGTGCAAGAGGAAGTCATTCTCATTGGAACAAACAGGGTCATTGTCTTCTGTTCCCTATCATCCGTTTTGCAAAACTAGATTTTTCCTTGGCCTTCTAAAGCTGCTCCCTAGAACTGGTTTGGATGTGCTTTTATTCTTCCAGCAAATCTCATTAGCATGGATTTGGGAACATGCTAATTTGCTGCTGCCTCAAGTGTTTTGTGTAGGCCCAACCTAAATGGCAGCTACCCTTTTGTTTCATTTCTAATTTCTTAATAATGGCAGAGTGGAGTGAAAAAGGTTCTAAGCTTCCTTCTGCTATGATGTCCAGAGGAGAGGTTAACAGGCAACAAATGCTCCCAAATCTTTGGAAGTAGAACAGCAACAGCTCCACAACAAGTGGTTTCTATCTTTCCTCCTGCTCCAACATGTGTTAGTATGGCTCAAGACAGCACTGTACAGAAATATCCTGAGCCATCTTCAGAACTGGAAGACATTTAGAGGGATTAGGGTAGTAGTGTGCTGAGGCTAAGCCTTGCTTCTAAACAGAACTAGCTCAGGTGAAGCATCATTCTAACAGCTATTATTGGTTCTTGGAGATCCGTGGAGGGCACTGCATAGAGACCATTTAGTGGTTGGGATTCTGCTGAGATTATTCAGGGTAAAACAAGAGCCTCTCAGTCTAGCCCTGGGGAAATGAATGAGTTTTTACTACTGATGCAGGATTGTAACTAAAGGCCTAATGATCTTACAGCTGACCTCCCCTCCCTCCCCTAAATTAAGACCTTTCCTTGGAGGTATGGAGTTAAAGGCAAGCAGCTTATGAAAGCGGGCACATGGATGGACTAAGGAAACTCTGCCTACTCACTCTCACGGATCTTACATAGATTTCATACGTGACATATGGGCCATAAAGCTTTTGGATGCCCAGTATTTTTCTCCTGCATCAGTGGTTCTCACCTTTTTGGACTCAGTGCACCTTTCCATAACTCTTGTGAATTGAGTCCCACCCAACTTCAAAAATTAAGTTATATATCATAGTGCTTATACTTCCTTGCAGAGAAGCTGGACAGTGTGGGAGCGGGAATTGACCAGGCAGGGACAAGTATAAGCCTATGCTTATCTACTTAATCTCCCTTCAAAGGATCTCATGGGCACCCTAGCTCAGAAGTATTGTCCCATGCAGTTATACACTTAAGTTATACGCTTGAGATAGTTATAATTGGATCCAAAAGTCTTTTCTGAAGTCTATTTAATTTCTTCAGGGATCATCTTTGTTCACTTCTCATTATTATAATAATAAATTATTATTAAAGAGCAAGCTACAAATAGGAAAGCGTAATATAAGAGATAAAACACAAGTTTAAAATTCATTGTATGTTACATAATGGATTTGTAGATAATCCACTGGGAGCATAGAGCTGTAACTTTTTTCCAAATTTAACTCTGATTACAATATAATTTTTGATATGTACACATTCTGTCACTTTATAAAAATTGTTATTTTCTCAAATGTTAAGAACAATTTCTCAAAGAAATAACATCTCTTTGAAAGTCGCATTTCTTTTGTGTAAATTTTAGTTAAAGGGTGTTAAAACTGAAGAACTGTTTGCCTCACGAATTTGAGAGCACTGTGAATATAGGTAATTAAGAAAGAAGAAATCGACAAACTACAGAGACCCTTACAGATGATAAGATGTCTTCCGTTTCTCTATTAAAATTATATACAAGAAATACTGCTTAACTGGTGCTTTCTAAGGAACTGATTTTTTTCCCCCTACAATTATTAAGTTTAAAAAACTTGTCTTGAAAAATGAACCTTATAATTTGGGATTATTTGTCCTTTGGCATTTGCTAGGATTTGATGGTTGAAGATAATCTTCTGAAATTGGAATTGAAACGTCTTCGCGATACACTGTACAATAAGGCAGAGCAAGTTCTCTCACTGGAAAAACGAAAATTACAATTAAACACAGCCATGGCTGAAAGAACTGAAGAAATTAAAGTTCATAAGGCAATGCTTGAATCTCAGTTAAGATTCGTGGATCAGGAGCGGCAACATGTAAGGTAGCTACCAAACATTTTCAAAACATCATGTGCAACTTTCTTAATACTTAAGTGGAAGACAGGGAAGATCATCAAATGCATTAAATGTGTTTCACCAAAGGTAAGGTTAAATTGTGGTCATTCTACAATTGTTCCTGGGTTTTTGCCCCCTCAGAAAACTAACTAAACTTTCTATTCAAAAGTACCTTGATACCACCATCAAAAAGATAAAATCTGCCAAAAATCGTTTTGTATAGTTCCATTCATTTGAGGATGCCAGTGTTTTACACAAGGAAGCATTTTTCCCCATTTCACAAATAGAATGACTGAGGAGCAGTTAAGTGTCTTGGCACAAAGTATACAGCAAGTCAATAAAGACCTGGGAACAGAGCCCAAGTCCCTCAGCTTAAGTCTCCTTTCTGAACTGCTAACTCAGTGTTTCATCACTCTGCTAGCAATCCCCCATCTCTATGCTTAACAAGATAGTGCTGTTTGGCCTCTTTAGAAAGATGACATCTAGTCCTGACAGAGGTTTGTAACTAAATACGTACAATCTTGTGCGACAGGGGCATGGGGGGTTGTTGTTTTATTTTAAGGCAAGGTACTGAGCTTGTCTCTCCACTATTGCATTTGTTCAAGATAACTGCAGACTATATTGTATTAACTAGTTATCAGAGCAAGTCACATTTGATGAGAGAACCTTCTCAGCAGGAGCATGTATTTAATGAAACTGTGATGGCTGATGCAGTAAGCTAAAAATTCTCACAAATATCCAGAGAATCTCTTAGCTGTCTCTTGAGACAGCTTTTTAAGCTCCTGTAGACTAGAAATGGTATGTGTATATGTTATACATACCCATTAGCTAGTTGATTACACTGTTAAACAGATAGTTATAATAAAAGCATAACTTTCTTCCCTTTAAAACAATAACATTATTGATTCAAAATATTTGCTCCAATCTTTAGCTCTGACTTCTCAACATCTATCTTGTGGGTGGTTAAACCCAACTGAAAAACAACCACTCAACAGCTGAGCTGGCAGGCTTTTATTCCCCCTCTGCTAGCCACACCCCACACAATAGGAAATTAGAGTGATTTAGTGTGACTAAAGCTTAACTCCTCACCAAGAGTGCAGACTGTGTGTTTTTCCTTTGATAATTACACAGCTAATTGGTACTTCCATGTAATTTGATTTGGGGTTGTTGCCTGCTGTTGCTTACTCTCCTCTAGCAGTGGCAATATTAAGATATGATCAGCAGGGGGCAGTTTGTGCAGCTGTAGGACTTAAATGCCAAATCTTAAAATGTTTGGGGGAGGATTATGGCCTGGCCTCCTGCGATGCAGGGATCCAAAATATAATGTTAAATTTGTCCACTTTTATGCAGTAATGTTAGAAGAGATGTGGGTGGGAAGAGGACCAGATGTCTAGGGCTGGGAGGACTGGGAGCAAATGGGCCAACCTGCCAGCAGTAGGAGTACTGCTTTCCTGGTTGGCTCCCTATGCATGTGCAGACTGTGGCCAGAAGCAGCTGATAAAATGGCACATGGCAAACAATTTCTCAAGAACTCACTTTGCATTTCCTTTCTTCCCATCACATCAGTGCTGAATTTCAAGAACGTCTAAGTAAAATTGATAAACTGAGACGCAGATATGAAATTTTGACAATTGTCATGATGCCTCCTGAAGGAGAAGAGGAGAAAACTCAGACCTACTATGTCATTAAGGTAGTTTAGTAACTTTACTATTGAAATACTTTAATCAACGCAATACTTAGGCAGTCACATAACAGGTGCCTATTTAAACTGTAGTTTTCTGTTTTATTCTTAAATCAACTCTCTCACCCAGTAAGGTAAAGCTCTCAACCTCATACCCGTTGTCCCCATCAGAGAAGGGTCATGGCCATGTGTTTTCTTGATATCTTGGGGGGAGAACAGCTTACTTCTTAGCCCAGGTCCCAACATGCAGAATCTTCTAAGTCTTCTTTTCTCAACAGCATGTGGAATAGCAAGAAACTTAGCCCATCTGGACTTAAACAACGTTTTCCAAGGCATTTAAAACAAACTGCAACTGGCTCCCTATAACGGGGCACCATCACCAGGGCAGCTGAGAACCTCTGGAGGCACCCCAGAATCCCCTTTATTTCAATCTACTTCTGGGAACCATCTCCCCTTCACTCATCTGCCACATCTTGATGTTTCTTTTGGTTTTCAATAAAGAGGCTGCCCCAGATCAGGTCTTTGCTCCAGAAAACACCCGGTGAGGAGCTCCTGCCTTAAGGGCTAATTGCACAACTCCATACCATCCCTATACTGTGCCCCATGCCTCGCAGATGTTACATGACTGTCACCTCTGTTGGGGCCTCAGCCAATTCGGCCCCTGCCCCATAAATGTGGCTAAGCCTTCTAGCCTAGACTTACTGTGTTGGACCTGGCTTTGAGGCACTAACTCCACTCCTTTCTTTCCTGTCGCTGGGCCCCTGGCCCATGTCTCTGAAAGCTTGATCTTCTCCTTGTGGCATGGCTGCTGAATGCACTTGAGTGTAGAGCAGCCCTCTTTTTCTCCAATCAGAGACACTTCAGTTAGCAATAGGAAAGTTCTACAAGACAGACTTACCTGGGCCAAATAAACTGGCTCTCCAGCCCCGTACACTGAGAGATCCATGATTCTAGCAAGTCACTAGCCTTCTACTTGTGAAGAACTAAACCTTTCAAGTCAGACCCTGGACTTTTATTTAACCACAGTAATGATGAAGGGTACAGCACTCTATGCAGGCACTCTCCCAGTATACCTCTGCCTGTGTCAGAGCGCACTGTGAGCCACCTATGGCAGACTGTTTAGCAGCAATTACCACACATACCATCAAGAGTTTAGACAGCACCTGCAGCTTCAATCAGAAATGCCTCCATGGTTAATGTCTGCAAAGCTGGAGCTATATTCACAAGTCACTATAGATCTCCAAAAGCTCCAGATTGCATGCCGTATTTGGGGAAACGGTGCTTTGGTTGCTGTTCTCATAAGACCCTTTAAGGTTCCACTTCCATATGGGCTATTAGCTTTAGTTATTTACAGTGGAACATGCATCTGGACAATCATTCAAAGAACAAACCAGTTAAGTATCTTGCAGGAATTGGCATTCTGTGCATTCCACCTTACATTTCTTCTTGAAGTCCCTTGTACTTCCATTCTGTAGAGTAAAAGAAACTGAGGAATGGGAGACACATACCAGCCCTCATGCCCTAGTTGAGAAATGAGAGCTAGGGCACACGTGAACAGAAAGGCTTTTCCTTATCAAAGGTCTGTTATCTCAAGTGCATGAGGCGCACCTACAGTGGGATATTCATATGGATCCCACTTACTGGAAACTTCTTTCCAGCTACTTAGCAGGTAAGGTCCCAGTCTGAACCGTGAGCTCACAAGTGGATTCTTGCCCACATGTATGGTTCTTAACTGCTTACCCACAAGGATTCTTTCCCTGTAATTGTCTTAGTGTGTTTCAGTACTACCCAAGCAGCCCTGTATCTTATCTGGTCTGTCATTTACCAACCTGAGATATCTGGTTTTACTTCTAGGCTGCCCAGGATAAGGAGGACCTTCAACGGGAAGGTGATGATTTGGATGCAAAGATCCGCAAAGCTGAAAAGGAAGTTGTAGCACTGGAAAATACCCTGCGTGTGCTTAATAACTGCAACAGCAATTACCGAAACTCTTTTAAAAAAGTCACAGAGACAAGTATGCCAAAAACAGATGGTTATTAACTGTGGGAGTTGGAGATGACAGTCTAAATCAGAGAAACTAGAGCTAGTAATGATATGAGGGTTGTATTCACTGAGTATAGAGCAAGCTGACACCAGCGGAAGGGAGAGTAATTCACATGCTGCTATCATTAGCTGGCCAGGGCACAGCAAGATTAGGTACAAGAAAAAAAGAGCATTAACATGAAATTAATGTTAATTTTTTTCCTTATGATATATATACATATCATAACACCCACATAAGGGTTGTGGATAGCCCTGAATACAAAACCACTGTTGGAAGGCAAATTAGAAAGAAGTTGAACAAGGAACTTCACAGTAAACCTATTACTTTTATTTGTGTAAAAGTTGGATCACTGGCATCAGTACAGCTGTAGAGAAAGGGTTTGATATTTAACTTGTGTGCCCTCTGCTGGCTCTACAGCAGCAATTAAGTTATTATTCTTCACCAGTCCAGTCATTTTTTGTCTCATTTTTGGTAACAAATTATTATGAAGAATTTATATCCATGAAGGTTTTATATCTTGAGAATGTCCCCCATAAAGTGTTACCAAATTAAAAGCAAGCACTTTAGGACTTCTGAGGACACATTTCCTTGAAAGTCTGCTTTTTCAGTTGTGTGCATTTCAGGTTTACACCTTTTGTAGCAGCAGTGCATTTTTTATAAG